AGGGTGGCGAAGGTAGCGAAAGTCTTCAAGTGACTTGGGTTGGAGGAGTGTACCTCCCATTCGTAGACTTCGGGTGCGTTCAGGGAATACTCGGGCTTGAGGCTTGTAGTGGCGGATGAAGTTAGCCACTACAAGCGGCGAAAAGTCGAGTGGTAGTCCGTAAACCTCTTAAAAAGCTGATGAAAAAATCCAGAAGCTAAGCAACTATTTCTCCATCTATATAAAAGAAAAAGAGTTTTCAAGTGAATCGATTATCAACAAAATAAGAATAATCCCATCTCCCCACAGTGGCTCAGTCTTAAGGCATATAACGTTAAAAACTTGGTTTCAATACTCGTGATTGGCACAGCATACATAGCCCATTGTGTAGCTTTGCGCTTAACAACAATCAAATATACCGACCTATTATTTCTACCTGCAATCCAACAGCCGAAACATTATTGTGGTTACTCAACCAGCTACTAAAACTGTCACCTAAACAGTACATATATTATCGTGGTTACGTAACCAGCTACCAAAACTGTCATCTAAACAGTACATACATTATCCTGGTTACTTAACCAGCTACTAAAACTGTCACCTAAACAGTACATACATTATTGTAATTACGTAACCAGCTACTAAAACTGTCATTTAAACAGTACATACATTATCGTGGTTACGTAACCAGCTACTAAAACTGTCATATAAATAGTACATATATTATCGTGGTAAGTTAACCAGCTACTAAAACTGTACTTTGTGTATCTTGTCATCTAGATATGAATTCTTGGAAAAACTGAAAAAGAAAGAAACAGTTTGACAAACATCTACATTATATTCAGTTTTCATGTAGTTAACCTATACCCATCTATCTTAATATCAGAAGGAATTGGCAAGATGATTGACTATATTTCTTCCCTAGGGAGTAACATCAACCTGTAGGACATTTTCTTACCAACATTCGTGAAATATTTACTTCCGTCCTTTAAAATGATTATTTTAGATTTGAAGATAAACTATACCAATAATCTAAGACAGTAGCTATAAGTAATAGAATAATGGTAGTAGTTTTTATTGTCACCTTTGAAACAAATGCTTAAAAATGTTCAGAAAGGGTTAGCCTACTACCATAAATATGGTAGAATTATATGATGATATTTTTGATATTTGGAACCATGGCCTAAAATACTTACTAACACTACGTCGTTTTTTCAGTAATTTTCATCCCAACATTTAGTTGACCTTACAGCACTCAGAACAAGACAACAGCTTAGTATTCTTAGACACTAAATCAATAATAATACGACACATACACACCTCTCATTACAACAAACCGTCCTAAAACAAAACTAACTACCAAGTTTTCTGTACTTTAATAACCATTACTCAAAACACATGAAAAGAGGAATTGTAACAGAAAAATTAAAAAGAATGCAGAGAAAATATTTCACTCAACAAGCCCTACAGAAGAAAAAACGAGCTGAAGAATTGATGCCATAAATGTTGTATCAACTCCATTTCAAACACACAAGGAAGTAGAAGACCACCACCACCCACCAACAGTACCAAATCAACATCAAAAGCAAATTTGGTTATATAAGCTCACATTGAATGATAGGCAAAATGAACAGGGTTCTTCAAAAGTTATGGTGTGGTATGATATGTTCTCCATCACGAAGTGTTGGATTCTCGTCTTCTTGACAGCAACATGTATATTCGTGCTTGAACTGTACTATTTCAGTGTGGATCTCGAGTTACTAAATGTGGCACGGGCCCCACATCCAGTTGAGACACAGATGTAGTTGGATGTCAGCTTTCCAAAGTGGTTCGAGATTTGAATTTTAGAATTTCTGATACAAAGTCCGGCTGTACTATGACAAAATAAAAACTTTCTTAATAAGTTGGCCTGTGATAATTTTTTTAAGTACTTTTCAATTGAGTCGTACCATGAATTCACTACTCCCTTGAACAGATTTCATATAAATTACATTGTTGTCTTCTTTTCAAAAGTGGAATGCTTATGTGTTTTTCTTCATTAGTAAAATGCTTATGCAGTAATGAATGATAACGTATACAAATATCGTAAATCAAGCTTAATTCATAAGCATTCATGAAAACCATGTAAAACTATAAGAAAGTAGGCCAGTTAATATATTTGCATTTCTTATCACGTGATGATTTTATTCGTTTAAAGAAAATCCTGACAATGAAATGAATTACTTATAAAACTGTTCTTAAAAGGAAAGTAAGTTTCTGGTATGATTTTAGTTGCTTGTCGTCAGAGTAGTTTATTAGTATGAGAAAAATCATCGTAAAAAATGATAATCTCTTACTACTTTTATAATTAAACTAGTTTGCGTAATTTCAGTAATATATGCTTGCTCAAAAATAATCCCCGGTAGGGGTAAGATTTTAAAGTAAATCCCTGGTCGGGGGAGTAAGAATTTGAAATAAATTCCTGGTAGGGATAAGATTTTAAAGTAAATCAAGTTAAATTTCTCATGACAAAACCGAGTCCTGATTGAATGTTACGTCCCCGATAATGGATTTTCTGTTTAGGAAAATATTATGATAGAGAGGAATTCAGTGTGTAGATGACGTTACAAATAACGACAACACAACATTGTAGCATGAAGAATATAGATTTATCAATCTGTATTATACATAATATTAATCAGGTCATATAATGAAATTATTGAGGACACCAAATGTCATTGTCGCCTGGTAGGTTTGCTGTAAGTTTATGGACTTGCAACACTAAAACTTTTCACTAAAACAAAACAAAAAGAAACGAAATGTCACGACAGTCAAAAATTATTTGTTCAAAGCATTTCCAGTTTCATTTTGACGTCCAATCAATACACGCTACTTAGAAAATGATCATTTTCACTAACACAAGACTCGTGCATCAAAGAACTTTTCGTATTACACATTTCTAAATATAAATAACATTTCAAATAATGTTTTGAGCGCTACAACCTAGCCGTTGGGACTTGCTCTGGCATTGAGCTAAAGATCTCTACAGGAGTGACCTACAACAGGCAAAATGTACTGTTATTAATGGAGAAAACAAGTTAATTAATTCAAGTCTTAATGCGACATCTTCTAGATTATTTTTTATTTTTCAACTAACAAGAAGATAAAAAAGAATATGCAGCATATAATGTTTCCATCATTTTATTAACTCTGTTATTAACATTGAATTCCCAATGAAACATACGCCAAGTTATTATATAATTTTATCTGACAACAAACAAATGAGAAAACATAGCAAAGAATAATTTCAGCACTTTATTAAATGTGATTTATATTCTTTTACTTTCGCAATAGGGTTTTAACGTTAAAATGGTATTTTAGATAAAGAAATTTAAGACCAGTGGATAAATATTTTAATATCCGTTTTTATATTATTATTTCTATTATTTGTTTCTTTTTTAAATGAGATGTCACTGTGTATTTAAGACATTCATTTTGTTGTCAACTGAACAGCTTGTAGTATTATGTAAGAATGTTTGGGGATAAACTACTTTAGTGCAATCACAAGCTATTTTTTTCCAAAAACAACTTGTCGTTCAATTCCCAGTGGGTAATCTACAGGTTCTCCAACTATCGATTCTCTAATCCACCGATACTGTATTTAGCGTTTGCATCACAGACTTCACTTCTTCACGTGATGTATAATAACCCTTTTACGTGATCTTCCTTCAATCAGACTTGGTATTTTTAACCTGATGAGCTTCATTAGGCAGTTGTTATTCAGAATGATCTGCAGATTGCTGTTAAGGTTCTAACACTATTAAAATAAAGCCTACAAAGTTTTGCCTATGATGGAAATAGGTGTAGTAATTGTACAGGTGCGTTCTTTACGTCACACAGCAGTGTACATAATAAAAATAACCCATTAAAAATGCAGTCATTGTTAAACTAAAAATAAGCAGCAATAAAAAAATATGTATGTCGATTGAATTATAATAGAATTATTTACCCAAATCCACACATTATAAACTAGTCACAGGCGCTTACCGTCAACTTATTGGCTATGATAACAGACGAGTGGGATTTAACAGTCACTCTTCTCACCCCCACCCCCTACACACACGCACAGGGAAAATGAGACATTAACAGTGAACCTTGATTCTATAGTCTCGCACACTGAACACTTTGACACACAAGGGCCATGATTAGAGGTTCATTTCTTTTATTACAACTTCTGTACCCCAGTGGCACAGCGGTGTGTCTTCGGACTTACAACGATAGAAACCCAGTTTCGATTCCCGTGGTGGATAGATCATAGATAGCCCATTGTGTAGTTTAGTTACAAATATACAAACAATACAACTTGTGTTGTATTAAACATTTTTGTGATGCAACTTTTGTTTTGTTGATCACTAACTAATCGTTCTGATGCCTTTAGTGGTAAAAGTTTTTGTTGTTGAATGACACTTTACACAGCGACAATAATAAACTTCACAGTTGATCTATCTTTCGCAGAAAAAAAGGATAAATAAAATCAGTTATTCTCAAAAGAGGATAGAGAAGCTAGTAATGATAAAGTAAGAAGCGAAATTGGAAGACTAATTTTCCTTGTGGGATTTTGACTAACTGCTAACATTAACGAAGTCAAACCGTCAGCGAACAACGTACATCAAAGTAATATAACTTGCAACAAAATGATTGTAGAAATGTTGACTAGAACTATACGAGAAATACATAATTTGTACAATAAATGTGTATTTTTAATAACAATACAAGTTTAACTGGTTTTTTTCATGTAAATTATGCCTATACTGTCAGTGAAAACTTTAAACAAGTTATATTTAAAATGCAGTGAAAAGTAGGAGCCGACAGAAACAAATTTTAATCCTGGTACTTGCATTTTAAGCATATTTTGTGAAGATAAAAGTATAAACCTTCCACTGGAGAGGATGTTAAATGATTTTATCAGTTAATGTTAGGGAAATTTAAATTATAGCTTTTACTTCATGTGGATGACCTTTACATTTAGGCTTAACAAACTACTAACCGGTGAACTGAACGCCAGAGAAAAGCATTCTTAGTGGTTTGATATGGTATATAAATAGATTTTGTAATTTTAGTGCAACCTCAAGCGTACACACACTAGACAAATACATAAAGTGTGTTGCAAAAAGTATGAAAAGCACCTTCCATTAATGATCCCCATCTGTAAGGTAGCGAAAGAAATTAATAAGAAAAAGGAAACCTTCATTATGCTATATTTACACACACACACACATATATATATTGTAATATGCATGTTCTAATATACTAGTTATTGTTTCCTTGCGATTTTTAGCTTACTTTTATACTCCTTGCAAACCTATTTTATGTGATAAACTACAAAAAAAATAATCGGAATTTTTTCAGAATATTAACGTTTTTATAATTATTGTTGTTTCAGCACAAATCTACACAATGGGGTATCTGCGCTCTGTCCACCACGGGAAGTCGAACTCCAAACTTTAGTGTTATAAGAAACTTACCACTGAACCAGGGGGGAATTTTGATGATGAAGCAACTCAAGTCAACAAAGTTTAACATTATAGTTTTATGTTTTAATAAAAGATTATTTGTACCTTAGGGTAGAATACTTTTGGTTGTTCATAGAACATTGGCTTTCTTTTCAGAGTAAAGTTTCTGAATTTGGCAATGAAAGTTCTGTATGCTTATAGGTGAACTAGCTGGTTATCTACTTATATTGTTTCACTGTGTTGTGATTATTAAACTGGCATCGATGCTGTTTAATGTGATGACGTACAGGTATTAATCAAGGATTATTTAGCCTAAAACCTCATCAAAATTGTAAATGTAACATTCCAGACTTTCCCATGCTCAATTATAATCTGTTTATTAAATAATTCGACGATGTAACTGACAAATTAGAACTTTTTCTAAGTACACTAGTACATACTAAACAATGAGTGCATGTTCTAGAAAAACCATACAAGTTGAAAAAGAAAAGTATTATATTTTATACTTAAGGCAAATCTACTAAGCCTATCTCCTG